TTGCTTTGTTAATTGTACCATAAAGTGTTTACAGATTCACCAAAGCTTTAAGAAAGAGGTAGTAGGCAAAAATTTATATTTTTGTCCAAGAATGGTCTGGGACATTTAAAGTGATGGACACAGACATGGACAGTCCCGGACCAGACAGTCTATGTCCATGTCCATGTCCAGTGACAACACTGGTTGCAACCGATTTTAATCAAACTGGTTCCAACCTCTAATACAATTACACATAGAAAATGGTCTAATAGAAATTTTTGCAAACAAGTTGGAAAAGTGTTTGAAGAGATGGATGTAAGCACTATCAGGAAAAAAACTAGTAGAAACATAATCTAAAACATAATCTATTAGATTATGTTTTACTTAGCTAGGTTATGTATCTACTATGATTAGATTATGTATCTACTATGACTAGAGTATGTATCTACTAGGTATAACTATGGCTATGATCTTGGCAGGTTGTGTTGTATGCTCTGGTGGCTCCTTTTCTTTCTTTCAAAGTCAGTACATTGTTGTGGTTGCTGGCTTTCGATTGGTTTGTGGAACATTTTCTCCACCAAGGCTGAGGCACAATGTGCTGATTGTGAGAGCTATGCCCAAACTGGATGCAAAGCATCCTGGTTTGCAAATCTGCAATGATGTAATTATTAATAAATTAGACTATTTTGTAACCAAATGGTGCATTTATTGAGTAGTCTAATAAATTATTACAAAAATGTATAAATAGAACCTCTATCCTCCACAGCATAGTGGAAATTTGAAATATTACCAATTTTTTATAATGTAACTTTACAATACACAACAAACATTCTGGCAATAAAAAGTAAGTGATAAACTGGATTTGAATTGGATCTGAACTTGATCTCCAATTTAGAGAGGTAACAACAAACTTCTACTATGCTATCCCCCACCTCTTGACCAAAAAGACCAATTTGTAAAAATACACATCTCCTATACCACTATAAATAACACCACATCTCTTAGGCGATTTGCCAACTTTTTCAATTGTGAGGATGAGGCATGAGGTGCTGAATTGGCAATCTGTATTTTGACTTTGTATCTCAAATTCAAATGCCAGGTTTGAGGCACAAAGTGCCAAAATAGTATTTGTGATCTAGTTTTGTGTATTGCATTTGAATACCAACCAAGGACGAGGCACATAGTGCCAAATTGTTATTCCTACTTGGTAATACATAAAAGCACAATTTTTCTTTATCTCTTATATTATTCTACCTTTATGTATTACCACGAGTATGCTATGTTTTGGATCTCTAAAAGCCTTTCTCACATGGTTGATACTTTTGGGTACTACCACTTCATGTCAAAATTTGTCCTATGTTTTCTTGTTTTACTATCTAAATAGAACCTAGGACCCTTTTATCCAGGAAAATAAAAGTAATTTTTGGCTGTAAGTCAGCAGGTAGGCTGTGTTGAGCTTTAAATAACCTATTAATTAGGAAACTTGGGTTGCATGCTCACACCATAATGAACCAGGAGTTGCAATGACTTGCTTTTGCCATGGATAATTCATGCTAAATTTTTTAACAATTTCAATTGTTTAACAACATTTGATCTGTTCCTTAAGAAATGAAACATTTTTGAAATTCAAATAATAAGCTGATGGATCATTTATTGATCAAAGACAAAATTACCAGAGCATTTTTGCTGCACAGACTCAATTAATAACACACATATCCAATGATGTTGATATATTCTTGGTTCTAAGATTGGTCTAAGGATTGGTCCTAAGTATACATGCTACCCAAGTTCCAACTTATTTGGAATATGGCATCTCAAATGTACAAAGTGAATTTGGGCCAGCCTGTCAAAGAATTCCCAAATCCCAAACTACTTTGTACACCCATAACATTCTGTCACCCAACCAATAAGTGTCTAGGATTCATGAAAGTGAACAGCAACCTTTTTGTTACACTATGCTTATTGGTTAGAAAAGTAGGGCAGAAAGATTGATCTACATTTTGGATTCATAATTTGGGAGTACAAACTAATTTGGGATTGATTTTTAATTTGGGTGGCACCTAAAGTCCTAAGTAGTGGTAATAGAGTAAATATGGGAATATGAATATGGTATATAGATTTGATAGAAGGCCTGATATAGGTTTGGTGGGATTGCAAGGAATCCAGTTATATGGGACCTGGAAGGCCCTTGTTATATCTGAACAATAAAATTTATTTTCAATGTTCAGATTAAGGTTTCTGGCTGAAACTGCTTCTATTAGTAGCCGAAATACTTTGGGCAAAAATTATTTTTTTATAAGCCCAAACTACTTTTTGTTATTAGCCGAAATTGGGCAAAATTATTTTAAAGTTGTTTAAGTTAAAACAAGTTGATTCATATAGTTTTTTAATGTTCATGCTTATAAAAAATGTTGAGAAGCCCAAATTGCCCAAACTAGTTTGGGCTTTGAGAAAACAGTTTGGACCAGAAACCTTAATTCAGAGCCTATAACTCCTGAATCTGATGTTTGACAAAATTACTGTAAAGTCTCAAAAGATAACATCCCAAAAGATAGCACCTCCTACTTTAAAACAATCGAAAATCAGTTGTTACACAGTTGTAAAAAATGGGTGCTATCTTTCAAGACCTATGGTATTCAGGTTTCCTCTATGGAAGAATTTGATATGTTTTTCATGTTGTTCCTCTTGGGTTTCTATAGCTAGTTCATATTGTGGATTATAAATGTTGAGTTTTAGTCCTTGAGAGTATTCATTTGTTTTCAGAAAACATGGTTGGTGTATTTTCCAAGATGCTCAGTTATAATTTCTCAGTACAAATCTTCATGATTACATTTTGAGCAGAATGAATACCATAAATTAGTATGTTTAAACCATTTATGCCTTTGATTGCACATCCATTGCATTGATTGGAATGACATTGTTCAAGTTTAGATAGTGCTATTTGCTTAGCATATTCAAGACAAGTTTTGCAGTCCTGTAAATTGTGGGCACCATGATCCAAAATATGAAGTGAAGAACTTCAAGTATGATGACCTTGATGACATTTTCATAATATTGGTGTCATATTCTATTGGAAGTTATTATTTAGGATAAGCTTTTCACATGATAGGTGTTTGTAATAATTATTAGATCTTTTTAAAATGAAAAGGCCATTTATTCATAAAACCAATATGGACTATGAGGCAAAGCTTGAAGCAATAAAGAATTATGGCACAAGTTCAAGAAAAAGGGAGCACAATTACAGGATATGGAAAGACAGCTTGCCTTATTACAATGATTGCTGTGAACCATGGTTCACAATTGACTTTGGGTTACACTCTTGGAGATAAAGAATATATATGACCTGCTTTATTGTGTAGCCAATCACTCGATTTCCTTTTCCAAATTTAATGGTTCATCTAACCAAGCCTAATGAATGGCCCTGGGATTAATGATTCTGCAAATAGTTATTAATAACTTTGGAATGTTTGATGGGTCTTCCTCTATATATTGCTGCATGACTTTGTTTCTTAATTTGCTGATGAATTAAAGACCTGAGCTAAACCTTTAATACTTGGTTAGATAAAAAATACATTTGTTTTATTCATTGATTGGTCAGATTAATATGAGTATCGAATTTTGTACAACTATAGATTACCAAAGTTGGGAAAAATTTTAAAAGGGATCGTCAATTAATGAATTAAATTTCAGATCATTTCAAGATCTTTGTAACTGTCTTTAATTTTAATTATTTATGCAGTATTATCAATTACACATGCATTCAACATGAATTAAAATAAATAATCCAAAAATTTTTAAATCATATAAATAAATCGTATGATCTTATTGTTACAGTATGTGAAGTTTATTTTACGCATATAAAAATAAATCACCTTCCGAACATCCTAATATCAAAAGTTGATTTATTGGTAAAATTCCTAAGGAAGTTATCGAGTTTTTAATTGTTGTATTCTTAAATTTTGATGAATAAGTTTGAAACTAAAGAAAAAAAAAATCAAAAAAAAATTTAATAACCATTATCAATATAAGTTGAATTTCAAAAGTAAAATTTCTACATACGCTTTCATTTAATGGTATAAATGTTATTGTATTATTATTATTGATTGTAATTATTTCATCTTTATACATATTCATTGCAACTAGATCAGGAGTTACTGAATAATGATGAATGAATGATGGATTGACGTATTATAGGTATTATTAGTTATTGATCAATCAATCAATAAAAGATATGATAAATGATATATACCTTTAATTGTTTTAACTAGACAAATGCTATCTATTTCCCATATGCAAATAACATTATCGGATTGAGTGTACGATATGAGATAATTATTTGCATAAAACTTCAACTATAATTAATATTAAAAAATAATTCGCAAGAAAATTATATTTTTAATAAATTTAAACATTTTCACAGCAAAAAAAAGCCATCATTTTTTGGATGAATGCTTACGTGAACTATTTCTGAATCACCAGCTTTCCAATTTTCAACTAGTGTTCCTGTTCTTGACTCTAATAAAGATATTACTCCACTAGAAAATCCAATTGCGATCAATGTCTCGGATGGATTCACACAAATTACTTTAATCATACCTAGTATAAATTTTTTTTTAAAAAAAAAATAAATATTAATTTTAAAAATTTATATTAAAAGAAAATTTCTTAACGAAAAACAATGATTTTACCAGCAAAGGTTGGAACTGATTTCCACGAATGCAAAATCTTGTTAGCTTTAACGTTTAAAAATCTAATTAAAGAATGTTTCCTTTTTTATTAGTAAATAAATTTAAAGAAAAAATAGTTGTAATAGGCGTATTAGGAAAAAACAAACCCAATTGATGAATCACTTAATCCAATAACAAGACACTTGGACTTAAATATTGGCTTAAAGGTAAGATATGGCGTTTTATGGTTTGCATTTTGATAAAGTGTCTTGCCGCTTTCAGGATCCCATACCTTTAATAAATGTGTAATATTAACAAGAAATAAAAAACAAGGATAAATTGTATAATCATTATATTACCAACACTGATAATTTACACATACATGAATGTGACCGTCACAACTTGCAATCACATCTCCAAGACCCCAATTAACACCACCCGATAGAAAATGTACGTCAGATATAGATGATTTTTTGTGTCCGGTATAATTAATTAGACACTCTGAAAATGGTTCATTATTTAAATTTTCAATTCCATTATGAATATTTAATGACCACAATTTAACAGTGCGATCTCGTGATCCAGACACAATATATCGTGAATGTTCATTAACATCTATTGAGCGAACAGCTAATGTGTGGCCTGAAATATATACGAAAACGCGTGTTTATATAATAATATTTATATTTATGTTTTTTGAATTTTTTATTTTTTAAAACTTTACCTTGAAAAGTCCTTAATTTTAAATCATTAAACATAAATTGCATCGAGTTTGACATTTCCTCTTTTAAAAAAATAAGATTTAAAAAAAATTTCTATATTTCTATATATAAAAAGATAAACAACAACGACTACAACAATAATAATTAATAGGTACCTGAATTAGTTGATAAAAATCTATTCCAATTTCTATTAAAATTTTATATTAAAAGTTAGTTAATGTTAATACGTATATCACTTGTATATAAAAGATAAAATCTTACTTTAAATCTTCAAATGACGAATTTTTTGTTCTAGAAAATATATCTTTTAATTTTGATCTATTTGATTAAAAAAAAATGGGCATAAATAATTATATATATTATATTAAATAAATAAATTAACAAACATATACCAACTTTTTAGGAGCTACAATAGGAGATGAGGAACCTAAAGTATTGCTTTTTACAGGACCATTACTAATAGATCTCATTGAACGATCAAAAAAATTTCCGCCAGATATAACATTATTATTTATATCAAGGAGTTTTTTACTGGCCCCATCAGTAAACAAAGAAAGCGTTTTATTTGCACCGCTAAAGTTAGATGATGATGATGATGGGGTAAATATTGTAGCCGTTACTTCATTTGTAGACAGCACACTACTAGCGTTCAATAGACTCAATGATAATTGTCTTTTGTCTTCGAAACTAACACCCCATTTGGAATTATTTTTAATATGAATATTTTTTTCTGTTGATGATCCTGATGTTATACTAGCGTGGTCGCTTATTGCTAATGTGTCTGTTACTGATGAAGGTGAATTTGCCAACAGTATTGGGGTAAGAGATTCAACAACATCATGATTATCATAATTTTCTATTGCTTCGCTAAATTTTTCATATATTAATTAATTGTAGAATATAACATATTTTGAATAGATATTTATAGTAAAGAAAAAATAATGACAAAAACCTTAAAGAAACAATACGTCTCATCATTCCTTGATCAAACAACGAACAAAACTGTGAGTACGCATAAACCATCTATAAATTTTTTACATGTGTGAAAAAGAGTTTATGTTTATAAAAATTGCATAGATTGAAAGAACAATAAATACCTGTTCTTTTTTAGCACCATCTAAATTTGACATTATATTTTCATCTATATTATTTACTGGTAAATTCTTGTCGAACAATTCAAAATATTTTTGTATAATAGGTGCTATCTAGTATTAAAATATTAATAATCAATTTTCAAAATTATCGATAATAATAAAGCAAAAGTAAAAAAAATAAAACTTACATGTTTTTCCCATTCTGATTGAGTAATATTGTTACTAACATGTAATAAAAATTCAATAACTTTGGAGCTTATAGATAATTTTTTCTCTAAAATTCTAATTGATGAATTTTTTGTCGTTGTAGATTTATTTTTTGAAGAGGATGAGGAAGATGAGGAGGATGAGGGGGGAGAAGAAGCGTTTTTATCTTCATCTGCAAACTGAATAAGAAGTTTTTTTAAAGTTTCTGAAAATCCTGATTCAAATTCTAATAAAATTTTATTACTTGAAATTGATGTAATAAGCTGTCAAATAAATAAAATATTTCTTAACTAAAAATAATTATTATAAATTAACAAAATATTATTCAAAGAAAAAAACAGAAAACAGTTAATCATACTTTTCCCAAGAGAGATAAATTATTACATATTATTGAATAATTTCCATTATTAATTGTATTTAAACCATATTGTTGAATAATGTTAATAACTTGTGTTACTTGTAAATGAGCAAAAGTTTCACCAAATTGATTTCCTGGGGGGGGGGGGGTTTTAATGAATTAATAAAAATTCACGTGTAAAAAAATTTATAATAAATTTATAATAAATAAAATCTTTTACCAATTGCAAAAATTGATTGCATTAAAAATGGCAAAGTAGAACTTTCTTTTAAAAACATTTTGTATACTTGTCTCATTACATTTTTAGAAGTTAATATAGGCCCTATTAATGTACTAAAGAAAAGATTAATAAATAAATAAATAAATTTATCATCATACATATATATTTATTAAATAAAGTCTTAAAATCAAAAATAACAATAATACCATATTTCTACTAAAGCAGAATTTGCCAGTTGAGCGACTGATGGAATTGCATTGTCCAAACTAGAAATATCTTTATTAGCTGTAGGAATAGAAATAGGACTTGATACATAATCTACTTCTGTCAAAATCTTTTGTTTAGCTAAATCTAAATGAAAACTATTGTTACTGCCACTTGAAGGACTCAAAAGAACCTTTTCTTCTATAGTCAATGCTTCCAAATACAAAGGTAATAATTGTTGTAAAAAATTTGTAATGCCAAATCTATGTATAAATTCTTCTATTATAGTCGATTCAAATAATATTTTTGGAATTGATGGTCTTGATGACTATATTCAAAATAATTAAATTTAGAATAGGAATTATCAAAAACCACGTTTTTGATGGTGATGACGATATTATTATAATAATATTGGTTACCTCAAATAAAGAAAGTATAGGTTTTAAAAGATGGCTTTTTACTTCATCTTGACCTAATCTTTGGCCTAGCTTTGGAAATATGCTTAGCGCTTCGAATTTAATATCATCGTGCGTAAATAAAAGTATTAAGCTTGGTAAAATCATATAAAACGCCTATTAGAAAAATATTAAAAATCAATTAATTGACATTTTACCAATGAAATAAAAAAAATTTTATTATATTTTATGAATATTGAAATTTACCTCATCAACAAGGTTACAAAGTTTATTCATCCAATGTTCAGCTAACTTAAGTCTTCCTACCCAATCTCTATTTATACGTTAAGTGAACGATTTATTATTATTATAAAAAATTGAAAATAAAAACAAACACATGAAAATTTAGTTTTAGCTTACACTTTATGAAAATCAGTCAGAAATTCGTAAACTTCTGGAATACATTCAGGTAATGGTAGCGTTTCTTTTTCATATAAGCCTATTGCAGGCACTGAAGAATAAATTATTGCATCAATTGTTGGACGTTCTCTCCAATTTGGAGATAATAATGATGATATTGTTTCTTGAACAGATAATGGCAGCTTAATTGATGATTGATTGGTTAAGTGAGTTATAAATAAACAATTTGTAAAGTAAAAAATTATAGAATATAATATTTATTATTATTACCTTGGATTGATTGCTTTCACCATTTTCATTATTGGTAGCATTTAGTGAGTGGCTGTCAAGTGAAGAAGTCAAAGTATTTTTTGGGCTAGCATAAATACTTTCCATTATCTGACCAAGACAATATGCATCCCACGCTCTTCCGTATGCAAATGAGTCTTTTAAACCATCATTATCATCACCACAAAAACCACCATCAATTAAAACTTTGTTATTAATAACATTAATATTATTATTATCATTATTAATATTATTAATATTATAATTATTATTATTATTATTATTATTATTATTATTATTATTATTATTATTATTATTATTATTATTAATATTATAATTATTATTATTATTATTATTATTATCATTATAATTATTAGCATTAATTACATTCTTTTTGCCTACATTTGTACACAAACCATCCTTATTAATAATAATAGGTTTATTCTCAATATATTTTGTAGAAAAGAAATGTGCTTTTTCAAAACTATCAAGTGTCTCAATAAAATAATTATCATTTAACTCGTCTAAAAACTTGATTGGCAATTTATTGATAATAGCAACAAGAGTATCAATACGAGATTGTACATCCTTAAAATCATTCGGCGTTGCTAGTGGTGAAAGTGTGTTATCTTTACTAATATCATGATTTATGGCATCGTATAAAGAATGTGACCTGGTTGCTGTAACTGGTCTAAGTTTGGGTGATTTTGATTTTGCTGATACAGTTTGATATTTTCCTACAGTCTTATCTGAATTAATAAAAGAATCAGTCATAAGATCAACTTGTTGTTGCTGATGTTTTTGCAGATACTGCAACTGTTGTTGATTCAATTTATCTGACGAATGGGTGAATTTTGAAGGAATCCTTTTCATGGGTGAAATTAAACGATAGTCTTCAAATCCTATCTTTCCTCCATTATTTAATAATCTATTTCTTGAAGGGGTTTTGATTATTTTTATTAGCTAACGAAAAAAAACAAATAAAATAAAAAATGAATTATTTAGAATAACAATATTACCTTGCAATTTTATTAGATTTTTGAGGATGAGGATCAGAAAATAATTGTGTAATTCCATGTTTTATAAAAGAACCCTGACCATCTAAAAGCGGCAATGCGACATTTTTTTCTTTCACAGCATTATCACCTTTTGTTTTAATTCCCCAAAATTAAACCAACATTAAAACTCGTAAGGAAGCTTATATTTTAATTTGAAAAAAAAGGAAAAAAAAAAAATACCGCTCAGTTTACACCCAAAAGTTAAATCAATCCAATGATGTAATTGACTTGATACATAATCACTTTCTAATGCTTCAGAATGTATGTGGATAAATTCATCGGGTGAAGATGCCCAACTATTATGAAAATTTAAATTTATAAATTTATAATCAATATCTAATTTAATGTTATGCTCGAGAGCCAAGCTGCTAACAAAGTAGCATTATAAAACTTCTAACATTTAATCAAATTTGTATATTACATACGATGGTAATTGTAGATCTGGCATATCTGGATGAATTGAAGTAAAGATACTTGGGTCTAAGTTTTTTTTTAAAAAAAAAACCAATTATTTTAGTCTAAAATTGTTTACTATAAAAAAAAAACAAAATTTATAAATTTATAATATAGTTATTTTGTGGCTCAATACCAGTGTAGAACTCAGGAATACATTCGTCAGGTGTCCATTCAAATAATCTTTTCATTGAAGGTAAATATTCATTTGGTTCATATTTTGTTCTAACGTATTGACACAAAACCTTTTTAATTTTTTTATTTTGTTTTATTTTTTTTTTTAAAAGGAAAAATTAATATTTTTCTTACTGACTATTAAAAAAAAAAAAAAAAAAGAGAGATAAATACAAACCGGTATTGGAGTTTTGCGTGCAAGATAAACGTAATAAGTTATATCAGATAAAATATCCGTAATGTGATAAGGAATTGGACCATCATATGTAGCATCAAGATGACTGTCTCCTATGTAATATTAATCATTATAATAATAATAATAATGATAAATATAAATCAGAGTATATAAATAATGGCTTATTGCCAGAGTAGTTCTTTAACTACCTTTATTCAAACGAAATTTGGTTTTTGTAAAATCTCGCCAATTTTCCGACACTTTTGAACCTTTAAAATCAGTAATCCATGGTAATATCGGATGAAAATTTGGATCTCCAATACGTCGACCTAATTTATAAATTGTATTCTATATTAAAATTGGCTCTACAAAAAAATTATTATTATCATAATGATGATTAAATGAAGGTCAGAAATATATATAAATATATATACCAGCAAGATAATTTAAAGCAATTAAATAATCAAAATTTGACATTTTTCCATAGACCCATTTCATAGTGATTGATTCTTCTTGAATTTCTACGAATTTTAAAATGCTTATATTATAATTGATCAAAGAATAAATATATATGTATATCTTTACAGAATAATAAATATATAAAATACCTTTTGGAATTTTCATTTCCATAATTGCATTTTTAGTTTCTAGTAAATTTAAAATTATTATTAATTATAAATGATTTAGAAGCATCTTTAAAATGATTACCAAATACATAAAATATATTTAACAACTATCGAACCTAAAATATTATTATCGATCGGTATGGAACATTCAAATCCTGTAAGCTTAATCCAAAGATTATCATCTACAAGAATATTTGATGGCTTCAACCTATACAAAAAAAAAATTTGAAACAAATTAATATGCAAAATTGGAATAATAAGAATTTTCAAAAATTTTCAAATAGTAAGTAAAAGCAAACTTACCCCCCATGAATTATGCCTTTTCTATGAAGATTTTGTATTGTTCTAAGCAATTGATAGACAATGAATGATTTTTTGACATTGGAATTTAATACACCATAACTATAATTCAATAGATCATGTAAAGTAGTGCCTCTATATGGAGCCATGAAATAAAATGCATTTTCTGATTCCAATACAGCAAAAATATCAATAAGATTTGGCGCAGATGCTCGACTTATTTCATTTTGATTATTTTTATATTTTGAGATTAATTTAACAGTCAATGTTCCAGGATTGTCAGATTGCGGTAATATTTGAAAATATGAACTTTTTGGATATAATAATTTTATAAATTTTTCCACAAATGCCTTAAAAAAGAATTTTTTTACTTATTATATATAGATTGTGTATATTTTAAATAAAAGAAGAAATCAAACCTTTTGTGTTATAGTATAGTTTTGATCGGTGTTATTAGATGGATCATTAGAAAACAATGGATAATAATTATTATATCGTGCTTCGATTTCAGCTAAACTTAGCGTGGATTTTCCGTCAAGTTGCTCTTTAAGAAATGTTCTAAGTGGTATAATTGGTTCGTCGATCTCATGATTTGAAACAACGTTTTTCTGAATAAAAATCTGTGATCTGTTGAAGAAATCAGTTAATAAGAATTTGAAAAGAAAAAAAAAAAGAAAAGAGCTTGCAATTACAAATATTACCTTCTATCAGCAGGAGAATGACGCTTCAGAAAAACGCTTACTAAAACATTTGTTGTTAGGGATTGACGATCATCGTTGTTATGGTCAGAAGGTTGAGAGTTAAGGGTTGAACGAGTGTAGGTGTATCTTTTAAGTTGAGTAGTTTCACCAAGCCTTGCTTGTTCCAAAATGGAAAGCCAGTGTTTATGAACCTGTATTAAACCAATTTATGTGGAATAATGAAAAGTTAATCTTTTTTAATTTTTTGGTTTTTCGGAGAATAAAAAAAAAAGTATTACCACACAACAGACAGTAGCACTTGTTTGCTCTTCAACAGAAAAACAAGGAAATGCAACATCAATGTTTAATTCTTTAGCAATGATTGTAGTGAGCTCTTCCCTCGTTAATTTGTCAATTGAAACCATTCTAAATCTTTTAAAATTTTTAAAAAATTTTATTTTGCATGCATTTATGTTTAAATTAAAAAAAAAACCAAGTAAAACTGATTAACACTGGACGAATCATATCAGGATTGATCGTGTATTACGCGCTATCAGTACCCCTGATTAAACTAGGGAGCTTGTGTCACCTGATGTGGACAAATTTCCCTATTTGCGATATTTGTGCAAGTGGAATTTTTTCGTATTTTTTATTTTTTTTCATCATTTACATCATATTTAATTATATAATAATAATTTTTTTTCCAATTAAAAATTTTTAATTATTATACATGTTCCCTCTCTTTTAACTCGCTCACATATGATGTAAATACATAAAGAAATCAATCAACCGTTGTCACCTGAAAATCACACTGTCTAATCAAAATGTATGACAATAGTACAATTTTACCAATTATAGCAACATTGCGTCACCATATATCACAAGATGGTCACAAGATATCAGTATCGTCCAGTCATTTTTTACCCTTTTACTTCTCTGTCTGTCCCCTATTTTTCTTTTTCTTTTTTTTTCACAAGAAAAGAGTTGAAAAAATAACAACAACAAATAATACTTGTAAAAAAAACCGTGACTGTTAATTGTTCACCTGACTTGGACCCTTGAAGACTGTGAGACGTAAAAAGCTTCTAGTACTAGAGTTTTGGTCAGCGCGTTATATACCTTTATTTCTAACTTGTTAACGTTTACAAACCTTTGTTCAAAAATTAAAGAACACAAAAAGAAATGTCATCCGCCGAAGAAATGAAAATGGTATGAAATTATATTTGTACATTATATTTACATATTATACATATACATATACATACACACAATGAAGAATTTTCATATTTAATTGTAAATTATTTTTATCTAGAGTGTTTTTACAGGAAATTCTCCAAAATCACCAAAAATTACATCTTCAACAAAAGAGGAAACTCAAACTAGTTCATCCCTCACAACACAGACCACACAAAAATCTACTAATCCAAACCAACAAAAGTATGGAAACTTTTTAAAGTGATTTTTATTTTATTTTTAAATTAATTATTAATTGGTTTTATATTTAAAACTTTTTATTTTTGTAATATTAACTTGGATATATATATATATATTATATAATTTATGAATTGATAGTAACGTTAATTCTTCCTCACCTAGTACTCCTCAACAAAAAACTGAACCTGTAGCAATTCAACCAGCTCCACACACTCCTCAACATAATGTTCAACAACTTCAACAACAAGTTCAACAAACATCACCATCACAACTTCACACTCCATTACGAGGTAATTCAATTTCTGCTTCATCAACACCTCAAACAACGCCGAGTGGTAAACCTCCAGTAGGTAGTGATGAATGGCATAGGCAACGTCGTGAAAACCATAAAGAAGTAGAACGTCGTCGCCGTGATACAATCAACGCTGGTATCAATGAATTGGCAAAAATTGTGCCTGGTTGTGAGAAAAACAAAGGCAGCATTCTTAATAGAGCAGTTCAATATATCCAACAACTCAAAGAAAATGAAGCTACCAATATCGAAAAGTGGACGTTGGAGAAGTTATTAACAGATCAAGCTATTCAAGAATTACAAGCACAAGTTGAACTTTTAAAGGCTGAAAATGGAAGGCTCAGAGAAGAATTAGACGAATTACAAAATCCAGCAAAAAAGAAACAGCGAACCGAATGAATAAAATTGATTTTTATAATAAAATATTTGTTTGATTAGAATGTTGGTTGATAATAATATATAATAAATATATATATTAAAATAATTTTGATAAATTTTTGAGATATTCTAATACTAATAATAATAACAGTTTATTTTCTATTATTGCTGGACATTTGTTTCATGCACGATTTTCTCTTTTTTGAAAAAAAAAATTTTTTTTTTTAAATAACAATAATAATAATAATTGAAATCAAAAGTTTTTAAGTTAAAAAAAATTAATAGGTAGAGTCGCAAACTATTTTTTTTTTATAGATAATAGCAAGTGATTCTTTCTTTTTTCTCTTTAATATATTATTTTTTTTTAATCGATCTTTTTCTTTCTTTTACTAATATTATATAATGAATGACGTTTGTAAATTATTATTTTTCCTTAGAAGCAAAATTTTTGGACTTCAACAAATTATTTTTATTATTCTTAAAAATAAAGCCTATATTAATAAAATTCCCTACTCCAAGATTACTATTCTCTACAATAAACAAAAAGTATTAATATGTTTGTTAATCATGAAAAATATGCTGTAACAATAATAATAATAGTATTATCATCAAATATATGGATGGATTTACAAAATATAATCAGTATTGGTTTTGGCTGTGGCAGTTTTATCCATTCTTGGCCAATAAAATAGATATGATAATGCGTGTGTATAAATATATATATATATATATATCAAAGTCATTAAGTTTTGGCCGCTTTGGTTGCTTGGGTAATTTGTAATTTAATTATCGTAACAATGAATTTATCATAAACAATTTATATAATTTATTCATATCCATCAATTATTCACGAATTGTTATTATGTAGGTCTTGCTGGCGTACCTCCACTACTTGAAGGTCCGCGATTAATCGGAAAAATTGACGATTGTTGACGGAATTGTCCTCTAGACTCTTCTCGATTTCTTTCTTGTGCTATTTTCCAAATAGTATGGTTATCATTTGGTTTTTTTAAATACACACACACATACACAAAAACAAATCACTTACGGTTATATTGTAGTAATTTTGAAATTAAATCCGTGTGTGTTAGGATCATTCGGCGACAACAATAACGAGAAAGTCCAATAGCATCCATTGCAGCCCTTTAAAACAATTCATTTTTTATAAATTTATTCATGGTATAAATTTATATATATATATATAATTATGACATAATAATTTACCCTTCTAAATAGTCATTTTCTAATAATGATTGGTACAAGTCCCATTTATTTCCAATAACTTTACCACATGAAAAACAACGTACTGGTATGATCATTTTTGAGAATAGCCTTCTTGAAAATTTTGTTATATTATTAATATAATATAAAAAGCTATTGATCATCAATATATGTTGTGAAAATGAAAATTAGCCAATCAAATTTTCAATCAGATTTTTAGTTTCCGATTGCCTATTGTTTAACGATTCATGCTTCAGGTCATATCTCCGACTAGTGCTGCAGTTAATCTGAAAATATAGAAAGCACATTTCTTTACCCTTGTGCCATTGGCCTAAAAGTGGCCATTCTTGAGAATATTTAAGCACTCTTCTAAATACAGCTTCATCGCAAATAATATTGATCACATGAAGAATTAATAATATCACCTGCTTCCCAAAATACAATATGTCTAATGATGTAAATTATTTATTTATATATATGCACATTATATTACTTTTAAATTTACTAACTTCTTTCAATGAGCTATTTTTTTCAACACAATCCTTGTTTGGATTAATCTTGAAAAACACATAAATGTCATCAACACTGACTGATAATGGTTCATTTGAATTGTCTAATTATATTATATAATTTATATATATGCAATAATAATAGTATATGCTGTTAGTAATTGCAGTTTTTCCAATTAATCGTGTAACTAAAAAGTATCAGACACCCTCAATATATACAAAAATGTATCTAAAGTCTTGAATATTATTACTATTGCATTGTAAAATTTCATGTTTCAGAACTTTATCCAATTGAAAATATATCTTATTTTTGAAAAAAAATAAATTTTAACCTCATAATTTTTTGTTGTTAATCAATAAGTTACTACTGCCTAACTGAGCAAATTCTGAGTTTGAAATTACGTCAGTTGCGTGACTACTAGTTGCAATTTTCGCATTTTTTTTTTCTTTTTAACTAATAAAATAAAATGTAACGGGTCTACTTCAAAATATTTGCTCCTTAATTGTTTCTGCTTGCAAATATACATTTATTAATTTGCATAATTCCGTGCACGGATACTATTTGTTTTAAACTAGTCCATTCCTGAACATTTTGATAGGAACTCAAATACTTTGCAAATGTGCGAGATTTTTAAATGACTGGCGTGAAGTAATTAGTATTTACTTGAATCTTTAGATGATAAAGATAAAACCAAAAAAGGAGCAAGTGAATTTATTGTGGGCGCTAGAACCAAAAAAAAAATCAACTATATTCTAGACCATTGTTTAAGAATGTTGTTTTTGGAATTAATCAATGCCTGGAACTACAATTTATGTAAAATTATATTTTAGATGGACAACTGAAGTCAATGAAAAACAAGGCATAAGCGAGGCTAAACCATATTTACATTTCCCTATTTCATTTTAGGTATGTATAAACAATGGTATTTGGTATAAAGACAAGAAACATGGAGAAGCAAAGTGCTTTATGTATAGAAATTGTTCAGGTCGTATGACCTCTATTCAATCAATTTTTGATGCTGGGCATGAAGAATTGAAGACTATGTCAATATCTGGTCATGTTTTTCGGGCAGGAATACGTTCTTTTTATCAAGTATATACAATCGGTTTGAAATTTGAAACATTAAAAAACCACAAAATAAAGATAATTATCAACCTTAAAATGTAGCTGGAAAATCACTTATTAATATAAATCACTACGAAAAATTCTATTGCTTGTAATAATAATATTATTATTCAAGTTCATAACATTAATTATCAATATTTTTATTGGTAAAAATTTATAAGTATTTTTTTAGAAAATTTCACGAAAAATAAAAAGAAAACTTTGTTCCTTATGGAAATTGTTTAGAAAAAAATGACACTATTAAAATTTTGTACCATTTTTATACTCTGAACTTGAAGTTTAATTAAAGTTAATGTAAATATACCTAATATATATTAAATTTTTCGGAATGTAAAAATTTTTATTCTTGATATTTTGTTTTTCATGATAAAATTTTAAAACAGTTTCTACTATTATTACAACACAATAGAACATCATATAATGTACACCAAATATTAGAGAAAGAATGTCTTTTATCTTTACCTATTAATAAATACCTACACAATACACAGCAAGTATTTTTTTTTGTTCCTTTACTTTGCACAATCATTTATCACTAAGAACGATATGTAAATTTTGTTTTTCTTTACTGGGTTAATGATACAATCGCAAAAATCATTTTTAATTAGTATTAGGAAATTATGTGTAAAAACTGCATGATAAAAATCTTAGTGCCTTACAACAAATTTGCAGCATATATGCTGCAAAAACAGTTTAAGGGATACCAAAAACAACAACTATCGCACCGATTTGTTTTTCTTTGTGCTATATAACAAATAAAACTAATTTTTCTCTTTACAAAAAAGAAAGTTACCGATGACTTTTACTACTTGAGCTTTTGATTGAAGTATTTAAATATAATGATGATGATTATAAAACATTATATTCTTGAATTCTTGTCAATAAACAATGGCACTATGTTAATATTTCAATTTTATGGAAAAATCCATTTTATTCTAAAAACAGCATCAAAATAATAATTAACTGTTTATTGGAAGAAGATAAGGATTTCTTAACAAGAAACAGCATTGAATTAACTTTTGAGCTATTGGATAAATCGCCATTATATAATTATTTTATTTCAATCATCAATTGCCGGCAAACATTTACAAATTAGATACTTTATTAATATAAATTTTATATTTGTTATCGGGAAATAATAGAGATCATTTTATTGTGTGACAAATAAAAATCAAAAATCTTTTTTTACAATGACTTTACTACTTGAACTTTTAACTGAAGTATTTAAATACAATGATGATGATTATAAAACATTATATTCTTGCATTCTTGTCAATAAAAAATGGCACGATGTTGGAATTCCAATTTTATGGAAAAGTCCTTTTTGTTTTAAAAAAAGCATTGAAGTAATAATTAATTGTTTATTAGAAGAAGATAAGGATTTCTTAACAAGAAATAGCATTGAATTAACTTTTGAGCTATTGGATAAATCACCATTATATAATTATGCTAGATTTTGTACTAGACTTTGTTCCAGTCATTATTATTGTAATCCTCAATGGCTGACAAACACTTCCAAATTAGATATTTTACAAAATAGATTAGTAAATTTTATTTTAGATCATTCAGCAGTTATTAGGGAGTTTAATACTTCCAATATGGTTTCTTACACAGTAATTAATTATCATGGATTTGATAATAGTTTTCAGAATCTTAATAAGTTAGTTTGTAATCGTAATATTAGTTATGAACTTATTGATAAATTAGCAAATATTTGCAAATGTATTCAATCATTAGAAATGTATGGTAGATACAATGATGAACTTCAAGATAGTCTGGCTCAACTGATTAAAGCACAAAATCAAATAAAGCAATTAACTATTTGTTTAGACATTAATCAACCTTTATCAGATAATTTCAAAAAAGCAATTCTCACACATTCACAATCAATAATTTATTACTCAACTAATAGATTCAACAATATAGATCATATACTATTACCAACATTTAACAATTTAAGGACTTTATCATTATGTTATGAAAAAACAAGATGGTTGAAAAATATTTCACTGCCAAATATTGAATCTGTGAGCTTACATTTTGGTGGGCAACAATTTATATCAGACTTGCCTAATTTTATTAGCATCAATGGAAAAACTCTTAAATATTTGGATGTTGGTGGTCTTACAAATGACAATGAATTTTTGGGAAAGCTATTTCAATCAATTGCACAATATTGTAAAAATCTAATAAACTTATCAATAATTTATAATGGTAAAGTAAACCAGGAGTTAACAGAAGTATTCAACAATTGTATTAAATTAGAAAGTATTATACTTGAAAGTGATTACACACGTACATTAGGTGGTGATGAAATACTTTCAATACTAAATCAAACATTACCAAAAAAATTAAAATCAATAATGCTTCCTTGTAAGTTTTCTACTATTAATGTCAATTCTTTTAATAATCTAATAAAGAATTGGAGAGGACTTAAACCTTTTACAATAGGGTTCAGTGATTGTCAAAAATTAGTGGGTTGATCAGGATTTAGGATTTTTAAACTAAACTATATATTTATTATTTTTATTTGATTTTAATTGGTTGAGAAATTCTATTGTGCAACAAATAAAAATTTAATTAACATTTGAGCACACTCCTACGTTTATGCTTATTATTAGCTTTTCTTGTGTCTTGTGTTAGTTACATTTATAAACTTTATTTTATTTTTTTTATAATATACATAATCTATTATTACAACAAAAATTACAAATGTTTTTCTTATATTTTATATAACGTCTATAATATTAAAGCTTCTTTGAATGCAATCTTCCGTGTATAAATCCATTTTTGCCTTGTATTGTCCCATTATTCACAAATATCTTGAGATTACATTCTTTACATACTCTTGACATGGCTACATACAACTGTCCATGAGTGAAGTATCTGCGTTTTTTGCCAATATTAGCTTCTCTTTGTTCTTTTTCAATGTCATGATAATTTGTAAGTGACATTATATGAAGCAGAATGTGGAAGCAAAAGATTTATATATTTAGAATAGCGTTTGTATTCATTCGGAATTATTCGGACATTACCCGAATATCATTCATGTGACTGATAATCGAATATGAATATTATTCGAATATCATGAATATCATGAATATCATAGTTAATCTTACTAAAAAAGGAAAACCGGTTTTTTTAATGTTCAAAAAAATTTGTTTATTTTACATTTAAGAAAACTAAGGAAATTGTTTATTCATTTATCCACTCTATTTTGTTAAGAAACTGTGTTTGTTATTTTGATTAATATTAAAAATTAGCATTTTTTATCTTTAGATTTTCAAAAAGACTTTTTGACAATAATGAAACAATTATTATTATGAATTATCTTGTTTTTTTAGTGGTAACTAAGCATCTTTACATTTTCAAAAAGATATTGTAAAATAGTAAATATTGGATCACGGGAAACGAACATATAAATCGGAAATGATTTACGTGTGTTACGAAGTGAAAATTCGGA